TTTATTTAGTGTGTGTGTGTGTATGCATAAAGATAATCTTAAAGGGTCAGGTCTCTCCTTCCATCATGTGGGTCCCAAAGATGTAACTAGTAAGGTCCTTTACCTGATGAGCCATCTCACTGGCCTTATAACTGGCCTTATAAATGATTTTTTGTTTTGTTTTGTTTTGTTCTGATTAACTGAGTGAAGTAGCTCACACCTGTAATCCCAGCACTCAGGAGACTGAGGCAGGAAATTGCTGAGAGTTCCAGACCAGCCTGAACCACACAGTTCCTAGCCAGCCAGGGCTCTGAGGGCTCAAAGAAAAATACACAGACAGCAAGATGTGAGATGTGTGGCTGCAATCCAAATGCTCAGAAGGCTGAGCAGGAGGAGGACCAGAGCACAGAGCACAGCCTGGGCTACACATAAGACCTGGTTCTGTCTTTAAAAGGAGGATGAGTTTTCCAAAATTTGATTATTTTAGTCAATGAAAATGCAACATGGCCAACTAACTGTGTAGTATGGTTAGATTAAACAAAGGTTTGCATACACAGAATTACCTGGCTACAGTAATCAGGTAATTCTGTGAAGAAGGTTTAATAGTTTTAGAAAACTTGGTCATGCTCCTGATTCTGTAAATGAAGATACTTCTTTTTAACTCATGCACTTATAACTTCAGAGAATACAGTAAGCAAACTGTGTTTTGCTGACACGTAAAAAAAAAAAAAAAAAAAAGGGTTCTATAAACAATGCAGGTAGTAGGCCCCATCAAATTTGTTCATTAAAAAAAAATTATTTCCCAACTGTGTAATGCCTATTAAAACGTGGGAAATTTGAAGATTGTTTCATATGCTGATTTCACATGCCTCCATGACAATTTCTACCACACTATTACAGCAACTTCTTCCACAGCTAATTATGATTAAGACTGTTCAAGAGAAAGAGTTTTCTTCCTGCACGGAAGAAAAGCAAAGCTTCAGTCCTTGAGGAAGTGAAGCCATTTTACATTCTCTTTATTAATTCTAAAGCAGAGAATTACAACCTGTCACCATTCCAGACTTTCAGAATCTAAGTTGTATGGTTAACATCAATGAATAGTAGTAGCATTCAACTTAATGATAGAAAGCTTACAACTCAGAAAAAAAAAAACATGGACATGTCAAGTAACAAAGGGAGATATTAGACGTGCTTTTTCTGATGATTTCAATTTAATCTTCAGAATTAAAATCTGCTACTAAAAATAAATTATAAATTTCATTTACTCTTTAAGCACTAAAATCAGTAAAAATTCTTTTTTTTTTTTTTTTTCTTCTGAGTGCTGATCGGTATTAAAGGTATGAGCCACCACATCAAAGCAATGATTCAGTTCAACAAGAAACAATATTCTCTACAGTATCACTCTTAAAATGTACATTCAACTATTCATAAACAAGTTTAAAAAAACTGTTCAATTAAATCAACATGGTCATTCACTTTTTATATGCCAGGTACTTTGCTCAGCACCAGCAATGAACTCAGAAATGAAACGCTACTGTTAGTTTTACAGGCAAAAACCATGAACACTATGTGATTTCTGTAACAATTTCATAATAGAGGTAGATATAGGCCACCATGCAAATTTAAATGAAAGAAAGCAAACAATGGTGCCTTGAACTTGTACTCCTCAGGAGGCTTAAACAGGTTTGAAGCTAGCCTAGATTAGAGTGAGAGCCTATCTCAAAAAGAAAAAAAAAAAAAAGTGAAAGCGTGTAGACAATTCAACTCATCCAATAAACTAAAAGCCATTTTTCAAAACAATGTCTCACTATATAATCCCTGATAGCCTTAATTTCTGATTATTTTGCCTTGACTTCCCGAGTGCCAGGGTTACAGGTACATTACAATATGTCCTGCCCAATAACTGAGTTTTCTTCCTTCACTTCTGGGTACATGTATGCACGTTCCTGTGTGCAGGTACATGCATGTGCAGATGAGCATGCACATGTATGTACATATAAGTGGAAGTCAGAGGACAACCTAAGTACTTTGTTTTTGAGACAGTGCCACAGTGCCTCTTAATGGGCTGGAATTTGTTCAGTAGCCTAAGCTAGCTGGCCAGTGAGTGGCAGCCTGTTGCAGCACTGGAAGCCAAGCTTACGCACCAGATCTCACCAGTTTTGTAGGGCCTGGGGATCTAATTCAGGTCTCATGCTTATAAGGCAAGTGATTTATTAACTGAGTTATCTCTATAGCCTTTTTGAAGGGATTTTGAGACAAGATCTTGTTATGAAGTCCTGGCTGGCACAGAACTTAATAACGTAGACCAAGATGGCCTCAAACTTGTAGCTTTCTCTGCCTCTGGAGTACTGACTTGCAGAAATGTGCCACCCTATCAGGCTTCTAATAACTGAATTTCCTTTTCTTTTTTGTTTTGTTTTTTCGAGACAGGGTTTCTCTGTATTATTTTGGAACCTGTCCTGGAATTCCCTCTGTAGACCAGGCTGGCCTCGAACTCAGAGATCTACCTGACTCTGCCTCCCAAGTGCTGTGATTAAAGGTGCGCCACCAATGCCCAGCATAACTGAATTTCTTAAATGTTTCAGGTAAACTCTAGTTCAAACATCAGGTACTGCTAAACAGCAATGATTCTTTATAACAATTATACCACTGAGGTTAAGAGAGGCAGTCAATGGGGGAGCACTTGCCTTCACATAGGCAAGATCCTAAGTTGGACTCTCAAATACACTTCTTCCTAACAGAGGTAAACTTGTTTAGACAACACATCAAAATCTCCTCACGTGTTCATTCATTCTGTCCTCATAACAGTACGAAGTAGGAACTGCTACCGTTAGCATTTCAAAGATGAAATATCCAAAGTTAACCTGGCCAAGGGCACAGAGACAGCAAAAGGAAATACTGAGACTTGAAACTACAGGACCCGATTCCAGAACTCTCTATTTTCATTTGGTTTTGGTTTTTGTTTCTTGTCTGCTGGTTTGTTTGTCTGAGAAGAAGTTCCACTATGGTCTGCATCCTGGGCTCAGGCCATCCTCCTGCCTCAGCCTCCCTGGAAAACAGGCTCCTGCTGAGCACTAGACCTGGTTTCTGAGCCCTACTCCCCCACCCCCAACCCTGTGTGCATGTGTTTATGTGTGTTCCTGTACCTGTGTGGATGCACATGTGTGTGGAGGTGAAAGACTGGCATCAAGTCTCTGCCTTACTCTTTCTCCATCTTTTATTATGCCAGAGCTTGCTTGAAGCCAGAGCTTGGCAATTTAGCTAGTCTAACTAGCTGCTTTTCCCCAAGAGGCCCTGTCTCCACCTCCCAGTACTGGGATTACAGGAAGGGCTGCCACATTTTTGTGGGTGCTGAGACTCTGAATTCAGAAAATGAGCTACCAACTGAGCAATTCCCCCCAGCCCCTGGGGCTTCACTCTTAAATACTACACAGACACCTATCTTCCAACGATGATGTAGTCTATGGAAAGCATGTTCTTAATCCTTGGAATAAAAAGCTTTCAAAGAGAAGTCTCTCTGGGGAAACAACTGGAGAAAACTTTTACAGACCAGATTGTTTGAAATGTGTCCAAGGTCACAGAACCAGTGAGAGAGAGTGGCAAAATTCAAATTCAGACAGAAGGGGCCCTGTGCTATGTTGCTTCACCCTCATTTTTAAAAGTCACATGTTAAATGTATTAAACAATTGAAGAAGGCTCTATGTAAGTCTCCCTGAAACACACTGAAAGGCCTGGGATCTGGTGATGAGCATTGCTTTAAAACAGCATTTTACGTGTAAGTCACTTTCCAACTCCACCACTTTGGACTGATCATAACCACATTTCTGCTCTTTAAAAAGAAATCTTTCTGTAGCAACTTGGCAGACTTCAGCACAGGAACAGTCTATTCTTTAAAATTAAATTTAGTAACAACTTATTCTGGTTAGTCTGAAAGAGAAGTCAAAAATGAACTACTAAGAGGCCAATGCTGAACTTTAGTATTTCAAAACATTTTGGTTTGGCCTAATTTAAATCTTATGGACAACTAGTGTAGAACTCGATATAAAGAGGGCAGTACCAACTTAAAACTACAGAAGTCTAAACAGCAACCTCAGAAGCCAGTTTGGAGAAACCATCTCTTATCATTCTTTTACCTCAAAATAAATACTAATGATCCATAAGGTAAGTTCCTCATGGAGCAGATAGATAGGTATGGGTATTTGTAGTTTGGAGGCACTTAAGATGGAGAAACCAAATTTAAAATTAACGAAATTCTGTACAGTAACATTGCTTAAAGGATAGTCAAGAATACAAAGTGTATACCAAAAGAAACAAAATCTAAACTGCTCTTCTACCCACACAGTTCTGCGCTGAGTCCAGTGGCTAAGAAAAGCAAAATTCCATGTTGTAGTTCTCTCTAGAGCGGAGGAAAACCGAAGTGGACATATCGTGCTGGATTCCCATCTTACCTTGCTCTCTTCCTACAGGTTCAGACTTCATAACCTTTAATACTGAATTAACATTTTTCTGACGAAAACCCATTAAAAAATGCTTCAAAATAAAAAAGCTAAGCAATGCCACTAGGCAACCAGTGCTCTATCACTATATATTCAAATTAGAAACACCTTTTGCTTTCCCTTCACTGAATGAAAGTTAACTTTGATTTAGAGGAAAATGTGTCCATTAGACATTTTTCACTTTTTTGCAGGGCACTCAGTCTATCAGATCACATCGCTGACTATTACTGCTCACTTAGGCATTCAAAAGACAGAAAGCATGCCAGCACCAATTATTTTACAAGCGGCATAATGCCCCGCTGGTGGAAGTCTGGCAATACCTACATGTACAGCAAAAGACAGGAGAAGGAGGGCGTCAAGGGCGGGGGAAGAGCGAGCAAGGGAATGAGGGAGTCGCCTCCTCAAATCCACGCCGGACCGGGAATCTCAGCCACAACCAGATCCCTGCCCCTTCCCAAAAGTGGCCTGGCAATCACATTTTTTTTCCCCCAGACCACCCCACCCAAAACCCCGCTCCGTACTCACCTTCCGCGAAGAAGTGGGCGCGGGGTCCAGCTCCCGGGCGGGTCGTACCGCCGCGGGGAGCGAGCGTCGGTCGGCGCGTCCCTCGGTGCGGGACCGGGAACCCGACGAGTGGGAGCGCGGGGGAGCGGGGTGGGGGCGCCCGCTCCTACCGATCGCGCTGGTACTCCACCGCTGCCCCGCGGAGGAGAGCCGACCGGGTGATGGACCGACTGTCGGGGGACCGGCGGGGACCGGCGAGGAGGGCTAAAGGGGCGAGACCGCGCGCGGGCTGGACGGGAGACGGCAAGAAGCGGCTCGGGGTCTAGCCCATGCCGCGGCGGCCTGGGGGCAGAGGCTGGCTGGGGGGAAGTTGCCGCGGCTGGCGAGATGTGGGAGGAGGGCGCACCGGGAGGAGTACAGCCAGCCAGCCATGGATAGCGGGGCGCCGAGAGCAGGGGCGGCCGGCGGCGGGGAGCACCGCCCGCTCGGCTCGCTCAAGACATTTAATTGGATTGATGGGTTGTGCAGTGACTCACAGACTTTAAAGAGTCCTAGGGCAGTCCCCGCCCAGCTGGACCGGGAAGAAGCGGCGGGGCGGGCGGGGTAGGGGGCCGGGGAGAGCCGCGAGGGAGGAGGCGGCGGGGCGGGAGCGCGGCGAGGATGCCCGGTGACAGGGCGCGCCGCCTTGACGGGCGTGACGGTAAGCCAATGGCGGTAGGGCTCGCTAGGTGGCTGGCTTCGCCCCTGGCCCAATGAGTCTTCTAAGGACACTGTCGCGCACCGGGCGGGGGAAGTGGTGGGGGTGGGGAGAGGTGGGTGGACGTTGAGCAGGGGGAGGAGAAAAGGAGCCGCGGGAGACCCGCGGAGTCACTCTGCCCTCCTCGTTCTAGAAGTGCGCTTTCCGCCAATCCGAGAGCCACCCGGGGGTGATGGACGCCTGTCTGTGGCCAATGAGGAGGAGAGGCTGACGTCGAGGAGTGGGCGGGCCCGCGCTCTCGCTCCCTCCTCCCGTGCGGTCCTCCAGCCCTGCCGGCACGGGTCAGTCACGCAAGTAACCGTGTGAGAGCCCGGCCGCGGAGGGCGGGGCGGGGCGGGGCGGGGCGGCGCAGCTGGCGGCCTCACCCGGGATGGGCTGGAGGGGCGCGGGCGGGTCCCTTGCGGACCTGCAGGCAGAGGGTCGCCCAGCCCGCCCTCGGGGCAGTCGGATTCGGAGTGGATCTGATCCAAACTTGAACCTCGTCCACGCAGCGCCCACTCCTGAAACAGCCCGGTGTGAAGTCCGATGGGCATATGCTCTGGGATTTGAGGGGTCAAAGACTCGAGGCGTGGCAATCACTTTGGCCCAGGATTTGCCCGTTTTGGGGGGACGACACCTAGGGTGTGGACAGGTTGAAGGGGCTCCTCAGTGCACACGTGTCTTTTTCGGGTTTCTGGAAATGGCACTTCTTAATCTGGCGTGAAAGTCTCTTTGCGGGTTTTTGCAGTACTTGTGTACAGCTTAGCTTTCTCTACATGTTCCTGGGCACTCTCTCCCACTTCCTCACATTGAACCCTAAGACAGTGCCTGGGTGCTGTGGCGTGTCTCAATATTTTGGCTACTGTCCAGTAATTGCTTCACAGACTTTAACCCTTTGTGTACTTGAAGGAGGCCCCCCCCAAAAAAACACACTGGCAAAACCCATCTTCTTACCCTAAAAATGCATTCTGTTTGTTTTGGGACAGGGTCTTGTTACCTAGCCCTAGCTGCCCAGCTACTTGCTGTGTAGTCCAGGCTGGACTTTACACTTGTTTTATCCCTACTGCCTCGGCTCTGAAGTGATTTCCGGAGGCTTAAATCGAATACATCCATTTCTGACAAAGTCAAGTACCAGTGAGACAATGTTGCTGTAGTAGGTTCTAGGAATAAGATTTCTCCCCAGATAACTGAAATCCACAGTGGTTGGAAATAAGAAAAGATAGAAATAAAGGCAATTGCTCCAGTTACATTGGAGCTTTTCTCAATTGTGGTCAGTTTAGGATACAGACTGTTCTGGAGCTTAGTTGTGACACGACCCTACCCCATGATTTCTTTCTGGAGTCAGAATCTGCTAATGAAAATGAGCTGTGCCCAGAACATCTTGTATTGTACATCTTGTATTGTATGCATTTTCTCTTAATGTGTTGAAGCCACTTTGAAGCTATGAAGGGCAAGGGACCCAGCAATTCTCTCCCTCAGTAGGTGAGGTAGTAGGTGAACAATGTTAGCCAGGTTAACCTATGAAAACCTAAACCAACCAGATTTCTCACAGTGGCAAAAACCAAACAAACAAAACCCTTGTGAATCTAATCTGGGTTACTATACTACTTTTTTTTTTATTTTACACATATAAGTGATTGTATGTATTCATGTCTGCCTGTGGAAGCCAAAAGAGGGTCCTTTGGAACTGGAGTTAGAGAGGGCTGCTCACAAGTGTGTAGATGTTGAGAACCTAACTTGGGTACTCTTCAAGAGCAACAAAATGCTCTTAACTGCTGAGCTATCTCTCCAGCCTGCAGATGTTATATATAAAACCTTTTTGTTTTCTATTTTTCTCTTTCTTTTATTTATTTTTTACATTCCAATCCCAGTTCTTCCTCCATCCTTTCCTCCCACTCCTTCCATTCCCCCCTCCTCCTGTCTGCTCCACAGAGAGGGTAAGGCCTCCCCTAGGAAGTCTACTAAGTCTGTCACATCATTTAGTTGAGGCAGGACCAAGGCACCTCTCCACCCCCACACCCCTGTGTCTGGACAAGGTATCTCTCCATATAGAATGGGCTCCACTAAGTCAGTTTGTGCATTAGTGTTAGATCTTGAACCCACTGCCAGTGGCCTCATATATTGTCCCAGTGACACCATTGTCACCTATATTGAGGGATTCTAGTTCAATCTTATGCAGATCCCTCCATTTGTCAGAACAGAGTCAGTGATCTCTCACTAGCTTGGGTCAGCTGATTCCCCATCATGGTCTTGACTTCTTTGTTCATATTATCGATCCTCCCCCACTTTGATTGTACTCCAGGAGCTTGGCCCATTGGTTGTGTATTTCTGCATCTGCTCCCATCTGTAAAACCTTTTTCCTATATGAGATCATTTTATAGATAACTGAATATAAAATAATTATTGTATATAACATACTAAAAGTCAGATTTTTGACTATGTGGAAGATCTCCAAGTAAGGGTTAGCATCTCGGGTTGGAAGAGCTATGGATTACCTCCAATCTTCACTATGTATCACTTTAGAATTCTTTGCCCTCCCTCTTCCAATATTTCCTTAAGTGTGGAAGGCCCACTAGATTCCTGGGTCCCCTCTCAGGTCTATAGCTTACTTGCTGCTTAAGCAAATAACTCAAGTGTTCTGGATATTAAAATACTCAATGCTTCATTAGCAACCTCTGTTTATTCCTGACTTTACTCTTTCTTATGATCTTTTAGTGATCGCTTGCATATTTCCTGTGTTCATGTCTGAGTGGATAGTGTTGGTGACACTGTTCTTAGGGAGACAGTAACAATGTCTTATTACCCAGGGCAAACTGAATTTCTTGGGGTTTCTTATGAGAGTATGGATTAGGGATTGCTTGTATACAAGGGCACAAAAATGCTACTCAGAATGGGTGACAACTAACCAAAACTGAAATCTTGGGAGATCTCTGCATCACTTGCTTACAGCTCCTTAAGTCAGAGAATCTCCTCAGTCTCGACTGCTTTTATAACCTTGGGGAAGGAAAAGCCTTTTGAATCTGGTACTTTTCGGGAACTTCTGAGATGTATGAGTTGTTTACTTCCTGTCTTAATAAGCCTCCCTTTAGAACTTCCTGAACTCTTAGGAGCTTGGTGAAGGTCGATAAGCTGACAGTGGGAGGTGTTCATCACAGCTGTGCTTGTAGCAACCCAAGTGGGATTACCTTACTAGATTTCACCTCTAATTCAAATGAACTCACACACACACACACACACACACACACACACACACACACACACACACACACACAGGCTCTTCTGTCTACATTCCTCCAGTTTCTACTGTCATGGCTTCCCCCTCCATTTCTTGGTGCTCCGATTTTAAAGAGTAGGTGCAGCTGAGTGGCAGCCCTGTGGTAGAGCAGTCCTGCCACTCAGCGGCCCCTTCCCAGTTAGAAATAGTCAAGCAGTCCTGGATTTTTAAAAGCTTTATTTCGATACTAGCCCAAACATGTTTACTTCTGTGTTGCTGTACACTTCTTAGAAAGCTGTGGGTTCTGATCATAGCCACCGTGATAAGCAGTAGCTGCAATTGTGATATCAGCCATGAGTTGGGAAACAAGCAGTAGACCAAAGGCCTTTTTAAAGTTGGCCCAGAGGGTAAAAGAACTAGCTATGGAGAGTCGGTTTAGCCAGAGGTGCAGCTCCCTTCTGAAGTCAGAACTGACTGGTTGGCAAGTGAAATAGTCACCAAACAGTTTGGGGATAGATTCAGGGTGCTGCTTGCTGAAGGCAAGGGTGGATGGTGAAGAAACCATCTCTTAAAATTTTTCCTAGCACTATTAGGTTATATATCGCTCCTCCACAGGCCAAGTTGAAAACAGTCATTTACCACAAAGGGACGTCCAGAATAGCCCTGCTGGTTATGGATTCTGCTGCTTTAAAAGCTGGTCTCTGCTGACTCTCCTTAATGGCTCATTATTGGCATACTGAACTCTGACCTTTAGTAATGGCTGCAGCTTCATGGCCCTCAGATGTTCACATGCAGGAGCAGGCCCACGCCTCAGCTGGGAGTTTGGTGGGAAGGTAGGTGGTATGATTGAGCCTAGCTGCCTGCACCCCTTTCTGGTGGGCCAAGAAACCAGGCAACTCCACTAGCTTTGGGTCCCCCAAATCCACAGAAGCCAGTCTGGGGTCCTGTAGAGTTGAGGGTTTTGGGGAAGCACATTTCTCTGCACTCGCAGGAGCTGTGTCATCATCTAGCATCTGTGCTTGCTCCATCATCATCTTTAGTGACTGCATTTGCACTTAGACGAGGGGATGGCTTTGCCATTCCTACAGGTCTGAAGCATTGGGCTCCTTGTTTATGCTGTGCTCATGTTAACAACAGGCATTCACTCAGGCCTTCATCTGTTCCCCTCCCCTGGGAGGTGTGAAAATAAAGTCAGAGTAGCATCTGAGCCAAGTGTGTATAGGTTTCTTTCTGTAGTCTGTTGTAAATTTGGAAAAAAAACAATTGCAAAGAAAGAATTATTAATAATTATTAAACTATTAAATATTTGGTCTGTATGTGGTTTTAGATATATTTAAATTAGATATATCAAATATTTCTCCTACCACTGAATATGATTTTTGGGAAAAAAATTTTTTTTGTTTTTTTTCTGTGAGTCATTGCCCAAGCTGGCCTCTCACTCACTTACATAGCTGAGAACACATGTTCAACCATATCCAGCTTCTAGAAAATGATTCTTAGTTCAACTTTGTATTTGGTACTTGGGACTGAAACAATGACCTTG